GAGACCCCCTCCACCTCCTCTCGCAGGACGCGGGCGACCCCGACCCCTCCTGAGACCCCCTCCACCTCCTCTCGCAGGACGCGGGCGACCCTGACCCCTCCTGAGACCCCCTCCACCTCCTCTCTCAGGGCGCGGGTGACCCTGACCCCTCCTGAGACCCCCTCCACCTCCTCTGCAGGGCGCAGGTGACCCCTGACCCCTCCTGAGAACCCCTCCACCTCCTCTGCAGGGCGCAGGCGACCCCTGACCCCTCCACAGGGTGCAGATGACCCCGAGGGGCAGACAACCCGCCTCCTCCTGTGGGTGGGCAGGAGAGACTCTGCACAGCCCTGTGTATAGCGTCTCCATTGAAAGAAACAAGTACGTGAGCAGGACAGGAGGGAGACTGATGGGAACTCTAACTTCTCACAAACTGTTGGTGGAGAGGAGGGGCCACCTTCCCCTGGGAAATGCCGTGGGTGCGTGTGGTGAGGTCGCTCACATGTGCACGCGGGTTCATAGAAGGCTGCCGAGTGCTGGGACCGCGGCGGCAGAGCTGCACGCTGGCGGCTGGCCTGGCGGTGGCTCCCTGGGTGGATGAGGACAGGACTGAGTGCTGTGTCTCGCAGAAACTTAAGACCCATGTGTGTGACTTCGCACGATGCAGGGACAGTGAAAATGTGACTTCCTTCTGTGGCGGGAGTCGTCCGTGTGGAAAGGGGAAGTTGTCCCATCGCAGGTCCCGTCAGGGTTCACTTAGGGGTTTGAGGTATCCTCGCCTGGGGGGGCTTGGAGACGAGCCCCCAGGGGCTCCCACCGCCCTCGCCCTGGGTGGCTCCCCTTCCCACTGGGCGAGAGGGACGGCCCCTCGGCACTGCTGCCTCCCCCTGCACCCTGCACCCCCGCGGCCCCTTCCGGCCTGGGGTGCTTTCCCTGCGGCAGCTGACCTGGCCCCACCGGCCTCAGCCACAATCAGGCACCCCTCCACTCCCACACGCAGGCTAGCGTCCCCGGCATGCCGGCCACTCGGGCCCGTCCAGGCCCTCCCCACGCCCTGGGCAATGCTGGTCCCTACTGGCCGGCAAGCCTCGTCAGCAGGTCCTCGGCACTCGGGACAAGCGGCTGCTCTGCCTTTCCTTTCCTTGTCTTTGCTGCTCTGCGCTGGCTCCATCCCCCGAGTGACAGGCAGGGATGAAGATGAGGGGACGGGGAACCGAGAGGTCTCGGGACGGTTCCTCACGACTTCTGCCACCACGATCGTGACTCTGTGCGACCGACGAGATGCCGTCTGCTCCGGAGTGAAGACCCATGGCGGAGCCCAGCGTCCCGTCTACACCGTCCTGAGCGGTCGTCTCCCCCGTGTCGTCCAGGCACTGACGGCTCTGTGTGGGACACGAGCTTCTGCTCAGGGGCTGGGTATTGTGGTCTCTGTCCCTCACGGCGGGATGTCAGAAAGTGCCACCGCAAGTCCCTGAGGGAGCGAGGCCCGAGCAGCCCAGCAGGCTGCACCTCGGCCCCTGCCCGCCAGGGGTCGCCACTGTCCTGACTGTCCCTCCCCGCCCACCCAGGGGAACCTGTGCGAAGGGACTCGCTCCGCTGGCGGTGCTGCGGCCATGGGCCAGTTCCGTCGCTGGTCATCCTGTGCTGTGTGAGCCAAGGGCACGTGCGTGGTGGCAGGCTGAGGCTTCCAGGAACGAGGCCATGTGGGACCGCGTGCGTCGGCAGGTGTATTCCCAGGAGGAGCTGCCGGGTCAGAGGGCGCAGGACACCTGCCCGTGGAGGAGCGTGCTCAGCACTCTCCAGGTGCTCCTTCCAGAGCACACGCCCACCGTCAGCACCTGTGCGTGTCCTCTCGGCCACACCAGGTGCTGGGCGTCCGGTCACTCCGCCACCCGGGAGTGGCAAGGTCTCCTCATCCTTGTAGTTTGCATTTGCGTGACTCCAAACGAGGGGACCACTGCTTCCCGCCATACCTTGATGTCCTGCTGGTGAGGCACCTGTTCCGTGTTCCTGTGTGGTTCGCTGTTCCTCCTTCCTGAGTCGGGTGTATGTGTGTGCCTGATGCCAGCTCCCTGTGGTCCGTGTGCTGCAGGTCTCCCACCCACTCACCTGCTGGCCTCTCCACGCTCGTCCGGTGCCTTTTGATGGACAGAAGTCCTTCATTTTCATGTCATTTCCTTTCACTTGCTGCCGGCTGTGTCCGGCAAGAGGTCCCGCCCTGGGCTGAGGTCATGGCCGTCTTCCACATCGCCCGCTGGAGGGCTAGTGCGTGTGTCAGCTGCATTGTGTTCAACCGAGCGGAGTGAGGTGTTGGTCAGGGGTCCATTTGCCCATGGGGACCCAGCGACCCATCTCCATTTAGAGAAAGACTGTCCTTTGGGCCCTGCTCCCTGGGGTCACCCCTGTCACAATCTAGTGACTGTGTTTGGGGGCAGTGCCTGGACTCTGATCCTGTTCCGTGGGTCGCTTTGCCTGGCCTCACACGCTGAGTGAATTTCTGTGGCCACCACGTGCCAGGACGGTCAGGGGTGTTTTCCCACCTTGCTTTTTCTATTCTGAGCCGCTGGTGTTTCCATACATGTTAGCGTCAGTCAATTGCTACAGAAAGAATCCTGCTGAGGTTGTGACTGAGATCTCAAGGCCTCTCTGCACCGCCACCACCGTCGTCACCGCGCGAGGGGCCAGTTGCGCACAGGCCGCCTCCGCTGGGCGCTTCCCGAGTGCTCCTGACACGGTGCCGGCTGCCGTGCTGAGGTCCTGTACGTCTCTCTAGGATTCTTGGTGGCATTCGATGTTTGGACCACTACTGTAAGTGGTATCTGCACTAGTCAGCGTTGTCCGGAGAAACAGGACTGATGACACACAGGCAGACAGAAAAGGAGATTTGTTACCGGAACCGGCTCACGGGATTATGGAGGCCGAGAGAGCCCGCAAACCGCTGTCTGCTGGCTGGAGAGCCAGGAAAGCCGCTGGGGTGGTTCGTCCGAGCCCCGAGGCTGGGAGCAGAGATGGACGTCCCAGCTCAAGAAGAGAGGGCGGCGGCCTCCATCTCCTTTTTGCGCCGTCTGGGCCCCGGTGGATTGGGTGCCGCTCCCTGAGTTGGTAGGGCCATCTTCCCCACCCCGTGTACTGAATCGGATGCCAGTCCCTCCCAGACGCGCCCGGAAATAACGCCTCAGCAGCCGTCGGACTCCCTCAGCCGTCAAGCGGTCACACACCGTTAACCACCACAGCTTCTGCTGAGAATTACCCGGGACCCACTGGCTGCCGTGTAGAAATACAGGGGCTCTCTGGACATGAACCTTCTCTCTGACGCTTTGTGAGACTAAGTTATCCATGGATGCGCCTGGATTGCCACCCTGTCCCACCTTGGGGTGACCCTGGCGGATCCTGTGAGCCGTCAGAAAGCCTTATGTCTGGCCTCGTGGCAGTGAGGGCGCCGGGCTGATTCCCGCTCTCACAGTGGCGCGGGCTGGGGCATTTGTTGCCGGGTTTCGCTTGGTCGTCTGGCTGGCAGACACCCTTTGCAACGTCAGGGAGCTCTCCTCCGTCCTCAGCCTGCTGGGCCCCTCCTCTGTGTCAGCCAGGGACACAGCCTGAACAAGGCTCCCGCTGGACGGGTGCTGGGGGCTGTCCCTTCCGCTCGGCGCAGCAAGGCGCATCATGGGAGGAGCCTGGAGGTCTGGAACTCCATGTAGGAATGGGTCTCTCCAGGGCTCCGGAGCCGGGTGTTTTCCTAAAAACCTGGCTCTTCCCACAGTCTCGGGCCCAAAGCCCCGCCCAGCACCCATTCCCTTCAGGGCATTCCCGGCTGCGGTCACACCCACCCCTGCCCGTGGCTCCCAACCCAGCCCAGAGCTGTGCCCAGCACACTCACCTGCCCCCCGCCCCAGCACCGCCTGCCTCCCGGCTCTGAGGGGCCTGTGTCCCAGGGATCTCGGCCCCGGTGCTGGTCCCAGCCGGGAGGTGTGGGTGAGGCCCCCAGGCCCGAGTGCACTCAGTGGCAGGAGGCCCACGGCCGCAGCCCGCCTCCCCCGACCCATGGCCCCGCCACCCACAGATCAGGGAAAGGTCACCCGGGGCCGCCTCCCACCTCCATGGGCGCCTGGGCGGGTCAGTGGGGGAGGGGCACTGACGCGGCTGCGTTCATGCACTGGGATTCATGCGTTCACTAGCTCACCCACTCACACACGTGCACACTCACACGCTCATTCACTCACTCACCACTCATTCAGTCACTCACTCACTCCTCACTCACTCCTCACCCACTCACTCTCACACTTGCTCACACACGTGCTCACTCACATGCTCATTCCTCACTCCCTCATTCCTCACTCACTCACTCGGTCACTCACTCCCCACTCACTCCTCACTCCTCACTCCTTCACACACTTGCTCACATGCTCACTCACATGCTCATTCACTCACTCTTAAAACAGCATCAACAGGAACGTGATGTCTAAAGGGGAAGAGAAGACAGTGGTGGAAGATGCATCAGCCTCTCCAGATCCTTGTTTGCAAAGAGCCAGTGTCTCCGTATGAACCTTGGTCCACACAGCCCAGACAGGAGTGTGAAGTGTGCCCTTGCCATGAGCCCAATATTGGACTGAGGTTTTCTTTTTTTTTCTGAGGAAGATTGGCCCTGGGCTAACATCTGTGCCATCTTGCTCTATTTTTTGTATGTGGGACGCTGCCACAGCACGGCTTGAAGAGCAGTGTGTAGGTCCATGCCTGGGTTCAGAACCAGTGAACCCCGGACCACCAAAGCAGAGCACATGAACTTAACTGCTGCGCCACCTGGTCGGCCCCATGGCTGAGGTTTTTTTGAGCAGTAAAATGGGAAAAGAAACTTGCCCATAAATATGGGGTTGTGTGTGCCCGTGTATATGTTGATTTTCCTTCCACAAATGTACAAACAGTGTGGCCCACCCAGCAGGGCTGCCTGCCCGCTGCACCGAGGCTACAGGCTGGTGCAGGTGGACTGACCACATCTATTTAAAAAGCTCGTTTTAAAACAGGTATAACATGTTATAAAATGCAGGTTTTTATTATGACTCAGGGGAAAAAGCTCAAGCACGAGTTGACCACCAATTTGCTTTATCCTTAAAGACAGAGCCAAGAAGGCAGAGCAACGTCTCTGGCACAGACACACAGGTTGCCAGCACGCCCACTGGCTCCTCTCGGACGGAGCAGCAGCCTCCTGCCTCAGTGGGACCACTGCCAGCCGAGGTTCCTGGACTCAGCGACACCATCATTACCCACACATCCTGGCACCTCCTGCCGACCTGGGACCCTCTCCTAACCCCCAGGAGGGGATCACGCTTCCCCAGAGCTGAGTGTCATGGAAGCTGCGCCACGAGTATTGCGATGCCTGGGTGAGTCCTCTGAGGACGAGAACCTGGCCTCCTGCCCAGCTGTCTGCGTGGTTTAGGCAGAGTCCACCACCTCCCCTGGCCCTGCTGTTGCGTCTGTGTCCACTTAAGATGCTGGTGGCACGTGAGACCAGAGCTGCCCGCAGCCGTGCCAGCCCGCCTGCCTCTGCTCTCTATGCTCTCCCAGGAACTGTCCCGTCTGTCCCGTGTGGCCGTGTCCCGGAGTGGAACTCACCACCACACACACAGCGCTGAGGGGCAGCTCCCCAGACCCACGCCTTTGGCTTTATAAAGAAGACATTACACGAGGCTGCCATGCTGCACCTCCCAGCCCCGTGCGCCCAGAGCACGTGGCGCCCTGAGAAACAGACTCGAAGGCCGTCCAGCAGAGTCCCTTCAATGCTGCGGGGCCTCGTTTTGGAATCACAGACGAAAGATACAAGTGCGTTTTTCTAGGCTTATGTACGATCTTTATGGATTACACAAAATAGCTTTGTAAACCGGGAAACGTCAGTGGCATCAAATGAGTTGATCTCGACGCAGCGTCCGCGGCAGCAGGAGAGGAGCCGAGGCAGGGCCTGCTCTGCCGTGTCCTCGTGGCGTGGGGCTGGGGCCGCGCTAGGACGGGGCGTGGTGGTGGTAGTGGTGGTGGTGGTGGTGCTCGTGGTGGTGGTGGTGTTCGTGGCGCTGGACCACGGGCACCGCGTAGCCCTCGCCCACCAGCACGGGCGGCAGGTCCCTCACCACCTCGTGCTCCACTGCCGCGGGCTGGCCCAGCGTCGCCTTGAGTGGCGAGTGGCCGTCCCTGCCCTTCTGCCGGTACCGCTTGTGGCCGTAGGACTGTGGCTGGGGCTGCGGGAGGTGGTGGCCGTCCTGGGGGGCCTGCGGCAGGGCGGCCGGTGGGTGGTAGCTGAAGGATCTCCCGGACTTGCCCCCGCTGGGCCCCCCGGGCGGCCTCCCCGAGCCCTTGGGAGACTTGAGGAGCTGCTTCTCCTGCCCCTTCAGCCGGGGTTGCCCATCCAGGGCCCGGGCAGCGGGCTCCGTGGCCAGCAGGGTATGGTCAGCCAGCACCTGGGACCTGCGGTGGTGCATGGTGTGGGCGTCCGACTCCTGCGAGCGGGACCTACTCTGGGGGCACATGGCCTTGCCCTGGTGCTCCTGCTTGGCCTGTGCTGGTGGCGACCCTGCAGACACGGGCACCCAATGAGACCCTCTGCGGGCCCTGCAGACACGGGCACCCCGTGAGACCCTCTGTGAGGACCCTGCAGACACGGGCACCCCGTGAGACCCTCTGCGACAACCCTGCAGACATGGGCACCCCGTGAGACCCTCTGTGAGGACCCTGCAGACACGGGCACCCAATGAGACCCTCTGCGGGCCCTGCAGACACGGGCACCCCGTGAGACCCTCTGTGAGGACCCTGCAGACACGGGCACCCAATGAGACCCTCTGCGGGCCCTGCAGACACGGGCACCCCGTGAGACCCTCTGTGAGGACCCTGCAGACACGGGCACCCAATGAGACCCTCTGCGGGACCCTGCAGACACAGACACCCCGTGAGACCCTCTGCGACAACCCTGCAGACATGGGCACCCCGGGAGGCCCTCTGCGGGACCCTGCAGACATGGGCACCCCGTGAGACCCTCTGTGAGGACCCTGCAGACACGGGCACCCCGTGAGACCCTCTGCGACAACCCTGCAGACATGGGCACCCTGTGAGGCCCTCTGGGGGACCCTGCAGACACGGGCACCCGTGAGGCCCTCTGCGGGGACCCTGCAGACACAGACACCCCGTGAGACCCTCTGCGACAACCCTGCAGACATGGGCACCCCGTGAGGCCCTCTGCGGGGACCCTGCAGACACGGGCACCCCGTGAGGCTCTCCGTGGGGCCTGGGACATCTCACCTTGGACCAGGTACACCCACACACCTGGCCGGGGCACCCCGTTGGACGCATGGTGCACTGTGGTTGGCTGGAGGGACCTGGGACCCTTAGGTTGGGCTCGTGCTCCTGAGTGTGGTGTCCACGCCTGGGGCACGGTCTCCAGTACCTACCGGGCCCAAATCTGGATGTGTAGTTCTCAATGCCGGCCAGGTCCAGGTAGTGGTTTCTCCGCTCCGTGTTCTCGTCCACGCAGTAGGACCCGCGCACAGGGCAGGGGTGGGGGTCGGCGCTGGGCCTCCTGGGGACAAGGCACTGACATTGTGCCACTGCGAGGCTGGAGCAGGCGGCAGAGATGTGGGGGGCACCTGCACACGCGGTATGGGGGTCCCCTGGGCTCTGATCAGCCTCCACTGCCCAAGGGACAGCGAGACAAAGGGTGGGTGTCCCTGGGGGGCCCCAAGGGACCCCGGTATCACTGTCGCGAACGCCTCAGGGAACCCACAGGAGCCCCACTCTCCTCTGGGCCACCCGTGAGGGCCTCAAGGCAGAGAGCAGGTCACCGTTCTGGGACCTCCATGGCCGCTGTGCCATCACCACAGCCAGCAGGTGGAACCAGGGGCGCCAGGGTGTGCCCGACCGAGGGTCTGGAGGCCACCGGGCTGCCCTTCAGCCTCACCTGCCTCTCAGACAGACGCAGGCATGTGCACTCCAGCCGGAGCGCCAGGTGCAGGGCCCCAAGATGCCACCTCCCCCACAGCAGGCAGTGCTGGGCTCCTCAGCGCCCAGGGCCGTCCTGGCCATCTGCCCTGAGGGGACAGCCCCCAGATCTGCAGGAAGCAGGGGCAGCAGCTGCTCCCACCTGAGGAGGCCCGCCTGGGGCGGACCCAGACCCCAGCCCCTCACCTGATGTGGGCGGACAGCCTCTTGTCAGCCACCCTTGAGTCCTCGGTCAGCTCGCCCTCCATCCCGCAGCGAGCGGGCTCCCGGTCTGGAAGAGGTGGTGGGGCACTCACTCCCTCATCCTCTGGCTGGTTCACTCAGTCGTCCAGTCGTCCGTTCACTCTCGAATGCATTCACTCATTCATCCATTTGGTCAGTCACTATTCATGCATTCATTCATCATTCATTCACTCAGTTACTACTAATGTACTCATTCATCCTCCACTCCCATGCATTCGCCCACTCAAGCATTCATGCCCTCGTTCATTCAGTCAGTCACTATTCATACACTCATTCATCAGTCAGTCACTATTCATGCATTCATTCATCATTCATTCACTCAGTTACTACCAATGTAGTCATTCATTTGTCCGCTCCCATGCATTCGCTCACTGGAGCATTCACGCATTCATTCATTCCTTCATTCACTGGAGAAGCAGTTTTGAGCCCCTGCCAGGTGCCAGGCCCTGCTCTGCATCTTCCGGAACCATGGGTGGGGATTCGTGCCCTGGGGGACAGGGGACACTGAACAGTAGACAGGAGTGACCAGGAACCCCTGGCTCTGCGGTGGGAGGCAAGAGCTGGGGGACGTTGTGGCGGGGGGCTGCCGTCTAAAGCAGGTCCTCAGGGCCTCTGAGCAGGGGACCTGCTGCTGTGGGGACTCCGGCCCTCACCCTGGCCAGCGGGGGGCCCCTCCTTCCTCTTGCCAGATGGCTCGGGGCTGACGGTCAGCTTCACACGGAGCGTCTTGCTGCTGCCCGATGAGTGGTTGACCGAGGCGTCCACAACCTCGTAGATGGTGTGCATCAGGCTGGACATGTCCTGCGGACAGCAGCAATGTCAGGGATGCAGGCGGTGCACGCTGCCAGGACACCACCGCCCGACGCCTCCTCCGGGCTGCCAGCCTGTCCAACTCACTCAGCGGCCCAGGCGCCCTGGCTCAGACACGACCGACTGTCTGGGCCGCCTGCTCTGACCCCATCCACCCCGTGCAGGCACCAAGCTGTCTGAGTAAGCGGCCCTGCTGTTGTAGCAATTGCATCTCTCTGATCTTTTAAATTTCAAACTGAATCCATGTTCAAAGGACTTAGCAATCAGGAAAACTACCCAAGTTTTGCTTTTTAACCCAAACACGCTTATTTTAGTCGCCCTACGTGCTGCTTCCTTTCAAGGGGCGTTTTGCCCGTCGTGGACACACAGGCCGGCAGAGGTGGGTGGGGCTCAGCGCCTCACGGGTGCTGCTGGCCCCGGCTGGAGTTCCCGCTGCACCAGAAAAGGTGCCGATGGCGCTGGGCCCCAGGGAGGAGACGTGGCCTCCAGCAGCTCCATGGTCACCGGGTCCCCTGCCCGCCTGCCTCCCTCACCCTGGAGCGGGGCCCAGCCCATCTCCCCATCACGAGACCAGGGGCCTGGTCGTCTGTCTGTCTGTCTGCTGCCAGCGCCCTTCCCCGGGGACCAGGCGATGCGGGCACAGGCAGATCACCTCCCTGGTGGCCTTTCCGCTGTTGTCAAAGCCGTAGAGCGTGAATGTCCACTCCTGGCGGTTGTCCTCCTCCACCGAGACGTCGCACTGGAGCGCCTGCAGGGCACGCAGGGCAGAGCGCGGGCTTGTCCTCCCCCTGCGCCGGGACCCTGAGCCTCCGCCTGCCCCCTCCCGCTGCTCCGTCACACTCCTGCCCTGTGCGGCCGGGGAGACAGGACGGTTTGTAAAGTCGCCTCCCATACCATTCCTGTGGTGGGGCACGCCACGCCTGGGAAAGTCCCGCAAGTTATTTGGTGCCACATCGGCCAGTTTTGGCGGAATTCACGGCAACACCCTCTGCCCACAGGAGCACGGGATGCTGGGAGCACGTTCAACCCTTCCAACCAGCTGAACCTCAGGTGAACCGTCCAGGCTGCCAGGTCCACAGATGCCCACTTTAGGGCCGATACGCACCACACGGGCCCCGGGACCTGCCTGCAGGAGAGCCAGGCTGGGGCAAAGACCTACGTCGATGTCCAGGCGCTTCCTGCCCAGTCCTCGCGGGGCCTCGCGGTGTGCTGCTCTCTCTCCATCGTCCGCGCTGAAGAGCTGTCCTGGGCCCTCGAGGCCCTCGGCCTTCTCAGGTGGAAGCACCACTGGGGGGACGAGAGGTGGAGAAGGGGCTCATTTCCCCCTGGTTCAGCCCAAGCAGGTGATGCTGGGCAGTGGGGACGCTGGAAGGTGTGGCCCCGGGAGCCGTCCAAGCCCTGACCCTCTCCAGACGGGCCTGAGTGGAGAGCCTGTCCTTCCAGAACAAGGGCATCAAGGGACCCGTGCCGGGGTCGGCCGTCGCCCGGGTCGGCCACGGCCTGGTGCTCCCTCAGCCCTCGCCCGGGTCGGCCACGGCTGGGTGCGCCCTCCTGCCTGTGCCCCAACCGCCCAGCAGTGGCTTTGGAGTACAGGGTGGGGAGGAGGCTGCCCCACAGGCCCCTGAGGGCTGGTCCCTCCTGTGGGCTCCAGGGGGTCACTGCATTGTCTGGCTTCCCCTCCCCGTCGACACGTCCAGTTTCCCAACAGCCCTCAATGCCAGGATCCACAGAAGCCGCCTGCACTGAGCCTGTCAGCTGAGTGGCCTCCGGGCGTGATGGACGGTGAGCATCTCCGCTCTGGCTCATGTTCTCCAGGAAGGGGACCAGGCGTCTCCCGTTCAGACCTGCCGAGAGGTGCTTGGACAGGTGCGAGCTGGGAAGATGGCTAAGGGCCCGAGTTCCCAGCGAGGAAGCTCTCAGAGCCCCTCTGACAGTAGCCCTGCTGGTTTGCCCCCTGCACCCCGTGTGACGCCTGCCCTGCATGATGCTGAGGACACTCACCCTGGGCCCTGCCCGCGGGCAAGCTTGGGGATAACCTGCCGTGGATCTGCTCTTGGCAGTGACTCAAGCCGTCAACACTCACAGCTGACCGTTTCCGACAGCCTGATGATGCTGACGCAGGACATCAGACCCAGAGCCGACCCGTGGACTCACCCGATCCCTCTCTTGGGAGTTGGGCCATGCCGCCTGCATGTCCAGGCTCACGGGAACTCTGAAGGTGGACAAGCTCCTGTGACTCGAGCTTTGGCTTCTCTGATGCCCAGACCCAAGACCCAAGACCCAAGGCGCCTGCTTTGGGTAAGGAGGCCGAGTGAAAGGCGTTCCCAAGTCCATTTCAGGAACAAATTGCTTATAAAAGTAGGGGATGGATGCAGCTCACAGCTCGCCTGCGCCTGAGAGCGGCCATCACTGGGGACCTGTAGCCACCAGGGTTGGGCCGGGTCTGGTGGGCCAAGCTGAGGAGATGGCGTGTGGGTGGTCCTCGTCTTCAGGGGCTCAGCTCGTCCGGGCGGGCCTGAGGGCAGGTCCCGGGCAGGTGCCTCGGGTGCGAGGGAGTCCATGAGGTTTGGGGAAGGACTTACCCTCTAGGGGACACTGGTCCTCCCGAGAAAGTCCCTCCTTGGGGTCCCCACTGGGCAGCTCCTGCAGGGAGGAGAGTGGAGCTGCGTGACCACGCAGCTGAGCGGGGCACATCGTGGACACCCCACGAACTCCAGGTGCCAGAGCCGACTCCAGCTTCCCGGGAGGCCACATGCTCAGTCCACGGCCTCTCCGTGCCCCACTTAGCCTCAGATCTTGAGACAGCAAAGCACACGCACATCCCACCGTGTTGTTGTTTCCACCAGACCCGTCCCCAGGACGAGGCTCGGCGGCTGCCACTGCACCGGCTGCCTCACGCTGAGACCCACATGCCCGTGGAGGGCCTGGCCTCTGTCTGACAGCGCGGCCCGATGAGAACAGAACTCACGTGTGACCTTTGCTGAGAGAGGCAGGCACGGGACAGACATCAGGCTGCAGACGGGGGACCCACCTGCCCTCTGCTGCCCAGCCCCGCTCGAGGCACTTCCCGCCAGAGCCGGACACAAGAAAGGAAGTGATGCTCCTCAGCTGCCCGAGAACCTGGGCAGTCGGACCTGGGCGGCAGACAGGGAGGCGCCTCCCCCAGGGCGCCTGGCACCCCAGACGCTCAGCAGTCCTTGGTCAGGGTCCTCACAGGGGATGGTAGAAGGTTCCAGACAGACCCGCTGCCCCCCGAGGGTACAGGCAGTGGGGAGGGGACGGGACCCCCGCTCTTACCCACAAACAGGCCTAAAGTTGCCCCCACAGTGGTGAGTACTGTTGGGTGGAACCAATGCGTCCCGCCAGCTCTCCTCTTGTGCAGATGCACAACTCGAAGAGGTCAAGTGTACAGCAGGCCGTCCCAGGGAGCCTGGGTGGGCACGGACCCCTCAGGCCCAGGTGGCCAGAGAGAGATCAAGCCACACTCGGCCGTGGGAGCCGCCTCGTCCCTCCCCCTTTCTGTTTCATCAAAGCCTCTGAACCCCCTGGGGTGGCCTGGTGGCATCCTCACGCTGGCCGGTGACCACAGGAGCCTCTGTCGCCCCGAGGCACCCCTGGTCACGGGAGGAAACTGGGGGACGTGCGTCAGCTCTGCCTCCACAGCCCCAGCCACGCGGCCCCCACCTTTCACGCGCCCTCAGGTTTCCTGTCCCAGGGACCTGGGTCCACCAGCTGCTGGACACTGCGGCTTTGTGCCAGCACCCTCCCCCCAGGGCTGTGTCCATCGGCCAGAGGAAAAGGGACACAGATCTTCCTCAAAGTGAGGACGCCCAACATGGTCAGAGAGCACAGCATCGTCAGCTTGCGCTTTCCGAGAGGCTCCACAGCAAACAAAACAAAAACCACGAGAAACCAGAACGCTTTCACCCAAGTGCACAAACTGATTAGTCAGCAGAGGTGTTGACGAGGAACATGGACGCCCTCAAACGCCCAGGTGCAGGTAAACGAGGAGGTGAGCGCAGACCCACCAGCCCGGCACTTGCTGGCCCAGGTTTGGGGAGGAGCCGGACTGCCCCTCCGCAGGGAGGAGGGGACCCAATGGGCCTCGGGTCTCCCCAGGACCACCGGGGTGCGGCAGGGGAGGACACGAGGGAGGGAGCGTGGACAGCAGACAGCAGACAGCAGATGTCCACTGGCTGCAGGCACCACCTCGGGCCCACTGAAGCAACCTGGCAGTGGGACAGTGCCTGGGAAGGACGATCGGGCCAGCGTCCCTGGGCCGGGCCGGGCTCTCGGCGGCAGAGGGAGGACCTGGCACCTTCCCGCCTCCTGGCCCCGCGGCCGTCATGCCCTCAGGATGACACTGCCTCCAGTCTGTCTTCAGGATGCCAGCTGGGAAATATGCTTGGACTCGTTTTAATAAGAAACAAAACACCCAGTTCTGAAAAGGTGCCACTTCCCTCCTCATGTAAAGCCCTGACACGCAAAGGGCTTGGCTTCGCGCCGTGCTGCGGGTAGGCTCGGTGTCCCAGAGCCCCAAGCCAGCCTGAAGAACTTCTCTCACCAGTGCGACAGGGCTGAGCTCCGACCCAGGTGACATTAAGATAAAACCAACACTTCTAAAAACCTGACTTTCAGTGAAATTTTTCTGCAGAATTAAAACTAGCTGTGAAGCTGAGGTCCAGGCATTCGTGGGGGGCAGGAGGGCGCCGGGACTCTGGGACGTGGCCTCAGGGGGCAGGGCCAGGGCAGAGGGCTGCGGGTCAGCGGCATCCGAGACCACAAGCAGAGGGTGCCAGGGTCAGCTGCAGCTGCAAGCTTTAAGGCCATCAAGTGTGCGGGGCTGGAGCCCGGGGCGGGGGGGCCGTGGCTCCCAGTATCAGTACCCCGAATACTGGGACCTCGGGGGCTCCAGCTCAGAACTTCTCCCCTGGGACTCAGGGTGGGGTGGGGTGGGGTGGACAGGGAGCCTGCCTGGTGAAGAGCCCCTCCAGGGCTCTGACCATCCCCTCCTCCACCACATCCCCCGAAAGGTACCCGGCCAGGCTCCGTGTTTGGCTAACGGTCAGAATGCTTAGATCCTGCATGATTCTAGATGCTTCCACCCCGGCCCGAGCACTCGACGCCCATCTAGTTACAGTCAGAGAAGTAAAAGGAATGCAGTAACTATCCTGGGTCGAAGGGTGTGAGAGCAAGCTGTGCACGGCGAGTCTCGCTGAGAGAGCTAGGGTCGCTCAGTGACACGCCAGGAAGCCTCCAAGACCCGCTTCCAGGAAGGGCTGCGTCCCGGAGGAGCCCTGCTGCAGAGGCTTCTGTAGGACCACGGACACCAGCAGACGGACAAGCGGGGACCAGCAGTTTCACGTCACTTCAACTCGGCTGAAAATGTCAAAGGAAAACCAAAACCTACCCACGTACTCTCCATGTGAGGTCAAAATAGTTAAAAATTCAAAAATACATTCCCCTTCTTGTTTTCAAAATAATCTGAGCATTTTGGTGTACTGTGTTGGTTACAGACAGGAGTATAATAAATGCATTGGGATGGGGGAAGGTTCCAGAAGAAACCCAGCAACTCAAAGCAGACCAGTCTGCACAGATCCTGGGCTGGTCTCCTGGAGACGCTCCCAAAGCTCCACTAATGATGCGCTAACACGGTGATGGCACGGTAACCAGGATGGACACAGTGATCAGCGACGGATACAGTAGCCACTCACCACTTATTTCCCTAACGCGCCTGGAGGTTCCACTGGAAAGGAGGTTCATCCACGTACAGCCCAACATTAGAACACACAGTGTTCACCTAAGAGCCAGATCAACAACCACCCCGGGGATGCAGAGGACCAAATAAGGAGCAAGAGCTTTTGTGGGGAGGTAACAATTCTCGTCCTGTAACTGGCGATTTCAGTGAAGCCCGTCCTGGTTACACATAAATGCCCTTTCATCTGTGCTCCTTTGGTAAATGGAAGGGCCAAGAGCGCTAATTGCAACCTATAAAACCTACCTCAGGGCTTCTGGCCAGTGCAGCCCCTCCCCGCCGTGATCTGCGAGGCAGCCGAACCCCACATAACTGGGGCCCTCTAGTGAGACTGGGGTGCAAACGGACACCCATGTCCTGATGTCCCAAGCAGGGGCCCGCCTCCAGAGGCAGTGACCCCCGGGGTGGGGACCAGCCCACCATGCTGAGCGTGGCCCCCTCCCCTGCTCTGAGCCCCCCTTCTGGAGCACCCCTCACTCCCTTTGCCCCCCAAAGAAGCCCCAGCCTCCCGCATATAAGACCCTCCAAGCCAGCTCTCACTCTCCTCTGGCCCCAGTTCCTCACCTCCCTGCCTGGCCAAGCTCCCGTGGAGGGTCCTCGGCACCACCCTCCTTACTCCCTGTGGCTGACGGTGGCTCTGACCCCACTCTGTCCCTGCCGTGACCTGGGACGTCCTCATCAAGCCAGCAGGGGCCTCTTGGCCGCTCAGCCCACCCAGTGATGTTCAGGCCTGATCTGGGGCACCTGGCCCTGGGGGGCAGCCCTCTTCTCAGGCCCCAGCTCCACCTCCTGCTGCCCTGGCAGCATTGGCCATTCCTTCTCCGGCATCTGCTGGACCCTCCTGTGGCAGGGTGCTCTGGGGACTGGATCAGAGCCACGGCCCCCTACGCTTTACAAGCGCCCAGGTCATTCTTTCGCATGTCAATGCCCAGCGTGCACTAGGGTGCTTGTCCAGCTTCTGAACTCTCAGAATCCACCCGAGGTCCTGGCATGGACACGGGGTCTGTGGCCGGTGCTCAGTGGCCAACAAGCTTACCGGGGCTGCACCTTCCGACCTTCCCCAGAGCTTGTCAACACCCCCACCTCCTAAGATGCTGCCACCAGGCAAAGTGAAGTCCCTCGGGCCAGCAGTGCTCAGGGCAAATTCAGTCCTTGCTCTGTCCCGGGAAGGGCCGGTGGCTCCCGTTTTCAACACAGACAAATCCTGTGCAGTGTTTCCCTCAGAAGACCCGGGTTAGTCCGGCCTAGAGTCTTTCAAGGAGGGGAGCATGGAGTTGGGTGTATTTGGGCTTCAATAAGCAGGAGCCGTAAGGACAACAAGGCTCGGGGGACAGGCCGTTAATGTCCTGTGGCTGCAGAACAAATGGCCACAAACTGAATTGCTGCTTAAAACAACAGGAATTCATCCTCTCACAGTTCTGGGGCCAGAAGTCAGAAACTAAGGTGTCTGCAGGACCAGGCTCCCTCCGGAGGCTGGGGGGGGGCAGAAGCGGGGGACCTTCCTGCCTTCTCCTCTAGCGGGTGCCCCCATGTCCCTGGGCTTGTGGCCATGCCGCTCCAACCTCTGCTCTGTTGTGACGTGGGCTCCTCCTGCGTCGTCTCCTCCGTGTCACATCTCCCACTGCCTCCCTCCCACAGACACGTGCGAGGCAGCTGGGGCCACCTCCTAACCCCCATCCCAAGAGCCTTCACTTCACCACATCTGCAAAGACATGTTTTCCATGTAAGGCCACAGCCACAGGGTCGAGGGATGACGACAGGGACGTTCTTGGGGCCATGACTCAGCTCACCACCTTCTGGAAGCTGGGCCTGGTCTCGGGTTTGCTACAAACTGGTTGACAGTCCTGAATCAGCCACCTAATCGTTCCGGCCGCCATTTCCTTCTGGA